CTCACATAAAGAGAATCCTGAAAATTTGGACTATAATTTAAGTTAAAATGTAAATATTTATCTTATCCCATTAACACTTTATGTTTTTCTTCCAACAGCTAACAGAAAAAGCAAAAATTAACAAATATGTGACTATCCTTCATCTGCCTAAAAAGGGGGATGACGTGAAACCAGGAACCATGTGCCAAGTTGCAGGGTGGGGGAAGATTCACAATAGTGCATCTCAGTCCGATACGCTGAGAGAAGTCAATATCACCATCATAGACAGAAAAATCTGCAATGATCCAAATCACTATAATTTTAACCCTGTGATTGGAATGAATATGGTTTGTGCCGGAAGCCTCCGAGGTGGAAAAGACTCGTGCAATGTAAGTAAAATAAGATCCCACATTTAGCTATTGAAGTAAGTCATGCAGACAGAGAAAATGTAACATCATGCTTTGTTTTGTCATGGCACTGGCTTCTACAGGATCCTAGAGTTTCTTGAAATAAGTTTAATAAAACCCCAGTCAAATACATGAATGTGCTCAGCTCAAGTGAGTCATTAATCAAAAATAAGAAGCTCACTGCTAGTGCATGGGGTGCATGCACTACATATTTTTGACTTCTTACAAAAATTACTAAGAAGCAATGTTTGGTCTCATTTTTCATATTAACATACAGAGATCTAAACTTGAAGATATACAACACTTAGAAGAGTTGAAGTTAAGGTTCCTCAAGGCCATTCAGTACGCTTTCCCCATTTCAGTACATTCCCTCTCCTTCTCCACTACGTTCCTCTGCCATTTAACATCGGCGTGTCTGAAATGTCTGTCAAGCCTGGCTGAATATTTCCAGCCAGACCCTATAGCTTCCCAGAGCTTAGTTTAATCCCCAGTAAACATGCTGTTCAATGTTCAAAGCATGACTCATACCAGAAAATGTGTAGGCTTCCATCCTAGAACCCCCTGAGAAGGGGTGGGACAGGGCCATGCTTAAAGACAAGAATAGAAGAAACATTTTACAGATTTTTAAACTGAATACTAGCTTGCATTTCTCATTTGTCCCAAAGACCTTACAGAGTCTTACCTGAAGAAGGGTATGCAGTATGCATGGTTTGGGAGTTACCAGAGATTGAGAAATCCAAAGGTCTCTGTCCTTCCCTAGATCTATGTCTTGCCTTCAGAACCAAAGCTAGTCAAATCCCAGGAAAAGAAAACATTTGTCTTTAGTACCTGTCCACTTTCTCTTCTCTGCCCTAGTTCCCCCATTCCCTCCCTCGTCCACCACGCTGGGCTCCCAGGAACCCAGAACCTTCATGCTTTTGGAAACCACAAGCTTTTGGAACCCACATGCAGCATCCTAAGGCTACGGCAGCATACTAAGATGTTAGTTCCCATCCCACCAGCCACCCGCCACCACTGAAGCTTGGCAATCCTTCCCTGTTCTCTCAACACCCCGAAATTGGCTATTGATGAATTAAACCTAAAGGACTAATTCTGCAAATGCCATTACTGTAACAGGCAGGGGAACTATACCTGTCCAGGGAGGATCCCGGGTTCTAACATGGTTCTTTATTTCGTATCTCTATAAGGCCCACTTTTGCCTGAAAGGGACTGATTTGGTTTTGTTTCTTTTGGAAGGCAATTATCTGCTAGAAGAACCAGAAAACATAGTTTTTATTCTTTGCTTCAATGTACCATCTGCATTTGACTATTTTGCCGCTTGAGTTATTAAGCATTTTGAGAAAATGACAAATAAACAGGAGACTTTCCTTTCCAAAAGCAGAGCAACAGTCTCAAAATTAGCTGATAACATGTGCAAGTTTCATTTTGATTTTCACTGGCTCATAAATAAACCAAGTGAACCAATTCAAAAATACTAAAATATTTCCAAATGTTTTAATTTTTAAGCACTATCTTCAATGAGATCAAGGTTGGTCTTAACTCATATTAAATGCTACAGAATTTCTTCCATTTCACTAGTGGTAATGCTGAACACTGACCCCTCTTGTTTTCCTCCAGGGAGATTCTGGAAGCCCTTTGTTGTGTAACGGTGTTTTCCGAGGGGTCACTTCCTTTGGCCGTAAAAATAAATGTGGAGACCCTGGTGGGCCTGGTGTCTATATTCTTCTCTCAAAGAAATACCTCAGCTGGATAATTATGACTATCAAGGGGGCAGTTTAAATAACTGTTTCATTTCATTTTCTGTGGCTTCTTAATGCTTTCACAAATAAAATCAATTTGCATGACTGTACCTGTTTCCTCTCTTGTAAACTTAGTGGGCAGATCTGCTCCAGCAAAGTGAAGCAGAGTTATACGGCAGCCTTGTAGATAATGCAAGGGGGAGGGATTATGTGATCAATGTCACCAGAGTCATTTATGCGTCAAGTGACATGGGAATGCTTCCTGAATTATTCATCTCTCTGTCTCAGTAGAATCCAGCAAGAATGACCCTAAGATCAAGTCTAACAACAAATGCAGTAAAGGGCTCCACAATTCTACAGGAAACAGAAACAGCCAGTCTGGAACAGCCAGTCTGCAGCCAGTCTGGAAAAGGAAATATAGGGCATTGTTCCACATTAACAACTGCTTTTCATGCTATACACAAGAATCTGAGTCTATGGGAGAAAAAGAAACAAGCAATGCCTTACAGTATTTTCCAAATTCTAGGGCATACAAATACAGTACTTGGGCAGCCAAGAAAATTATACAGTAGAAAGTCAGCCTTCTTTCTCAGTGCCTTGCATTTAAGCCTTGGAGTACCTAGGTGATTTCTCAGTTCTCTTTGTTCTTGAGACTGGGTAGATCCAATCAACATGAGAGTTACAGTGGCTGCCATCCCATAGTAGAGAGTGAGTGTTCACTTGTGTCCAGAAAGTTTTCTTTGGAAAAAGCCCTTATCATATTTTTTCAACATAGTGAATTTAGTAGGTAGTCATCAGCCTGCAGTCACTTCAAGATGTTATTATGTGAACAGATTCTTTCAATTTCTATAGTCCCTTTAGTAATATAAATTTTATATATGTATATTATATATTATGTAATACAAATTTCAATATATACATATATGTGTTTATCTACATATGTATATACATACACATACACACATATATATACACATATACACACACATATACATGCATAATACATATTCAAACCAATAACATACAGCAACACTAAGAGACAGGCTCTTAAAACAAAGGAAGGTGCAAAAATAAAACACCAACAACAAAGGAAGGAGCATAGCTTAAAGACTGGCTAAAGTAATAGTACATTGGTTTTCAACCATGGTCGTTCATTAGACTCACTAAGCTCCTTAAAACTACCAATGCCCAGGTCCTACCTCTACACATTTTGATTTAATTGGTATTTGGTGGGACCCGGGATGTAGTATTCTTTATGTGAGCTCCCCAGTGATTGTAATATGCAACCAGGGATGAATCTTTATACTAGAAAAGGAGGCCTGGTGCTACTATATAAAAGAGAGGCTCTGAGAGAGTAACTACGATGATATTTTAAATACTTGCTACAATTCCCTCATTGCTAGTTAGGACTTTAACTGCAAAAAGAGAATGGAATATTCCCTACTGTCAATACGTACTACAGATTTTGAACTCTGTTTAAAAAGTGGTTGTATGGAACCCTTGATAACTGCTGGTAGAAGTATAAATTATTACAACGTCATAGGAAAATTGGCAGTGTCTACTAAAACTCAACATATATATAAACCTATGACCTAGCAATTCCACTCCTGGGTAGATCCCAAACAGACATGAGTGCTTTTATCCACCAAAGATGTGTTCTGGAATGTACATAGCAGCTTTATTCTTGGAAGTCAAAACTAGAAATAACTCAAATATCCACACACAATAAAATGGATAAACAACTGTTATACAGTCATACAATAAAATATTACACAGCAATGAAAAGAACAAACTTCAGTTTTATGCAACACAAATTTAATGTTGAGGAAAAGTGAGATAAAAAAGAATACACATGATGAGATTCCATTTATCTAAAAGTTGGCATAAGGGAAAACTAATCCATGGGGATAGGAGTCAGAAAAATGTGGAGGTGCTAACTAGGAGTGGACACGAGGGATCCCTTTAGGGTACTAGAGATGTTCATATCTTGATCTAGATGGTGGTTGCACAGTTGTTTATTCACAAATTTAAAACTCATCAAGCTATAAACTTAAGACTTATGTGCTTTACTATATGTGAATTATTACTCCATGAAAAATTTTTAATTTCAAAATTTAAAAATAAGTTGTAGCCCAGGCTTTTGTGTGCTATATGAAAGCTTACCTTTTTCTTTATGAAAATCATATTCCAAACTTCCCAACAAAACTAATCATAGTAACAGATATATTAATATTTTTCTTAAATGAGAGCCTGTTGTTCACATGCCAGTATTAATTGAGAGAAGTGGCCTTTGGTCATGACATAGTGTCGTCAGAGTATTAAAACAGAAGTATCCACAACAGAATAGCAGGGGACACTGGAAATGGTCTAATCATTTTGCTCATTTTCTTCTAAACATTTTCTTACAGTTTATACCTGGCTTATTAGGAAGATCAAATTAAAACCATTAAAGAAGAGTGTGCATTGCAGAAAACGATCACACCTGTGGCTTTCAGTGGCCTAAATTCTAAGGCAAGAATTACTAACATTACCAAACAGATTTAAATTTTAAAAACAGGGAAAATAAATATATATATTGACAAATTAACACTAATTTAACAGAAGAGTCCTAAACTCCCCTGGTATATACCATTCTACTTTTGAATTCTCAAAGTTTTTGTTATGTTGTATCGATTTTGGGGGCATAGGGAATGGGTATGTATTAGTAAAAACAAGTCATGTCAAAGCAAAAAAAAAATAATCAGCCAATATTTGTTATCTGTCATATGTAGAACATACTAAGGAGCACCAAAAAATATAATGCATGCTCTCTCAAGCCTTCAATTTAAACTCCTCAGGATGTTAAAACCAAAATAACCAATGATTCAGACAGTAATAAGATTTTTTTAAACAGCTGTAATAGTATAGTAATACCAGGTAGATGATACAGGCTAATGCCAAGAACTCAAACCCAGGTAACATCATTTCAAAACACTTCCTGGAGAGGTTAGGACTTGTGTGGGTGTGTAAAGGAAAAGGAGAGAGAAGCAAGAATTCAGATTAGAAGAAAAGCTCCAACAAGGCAGGAAATCACAAGACTTAACCAAAGTCTTAATATAGGAGATGAATGGGAATCAACATTCAAAAGACAGAACAGTGAACTGATCAAGTTTGAAGGAACCTTAGCAGTGATCAAATCCAAATTCCTATCCTTGCAGATGTTGCAACACATCCAAGGTTACAGGGTGTATTTATGGCAGAGCCAAGGCAAGAACAGATCTAACTTCAAGTCCTGGGCTCAGGACTCCAGAGGCCGAGGTCAAAGGTGCTTGGTAATAGGGTGTCCTCGAGAGTTTACGAGCAGGAGACTGAGAGGATCAGCACGGGACTTTTAGATGCTTAACCTAGCAGTGGTGTGGAGTCAAGAGAAACAGTTATAAGGCAACTACAGCAGACTAGCTGTCAGGCACGCAGGATGTGACTAAGTGAAACAAAAGAAAAGAGAGCAAAGGGTGAACCAAGGAAGCACAGAGAAGAACCAGGAGGTTCCCTGAGTAGGGGACCAGGATAAGGATAAGACCATCAGGAGGAGAAGAGATTCCTACAGAACTGATTTTTAGAGAAAGTAATATGCATGCTTAACATACTGCCTAGCATATAGTGAGATTTTAATAAATGTTTTTCAAGTGAATGGGTCGTGTTTTCAATGTGTTGAGATTGAGCTAAAGACAGGAAAGAATCTCGAAAGGGAACTATCCCGAGGCAAACAGAAATATGAGGTTTGGAGCTAGGGAGAAAAGTCAGATGGGAAAGAAGTAGAAATCTTTGCTGTAGATGTTATTCTGAATAAAGTAGTGAAAATGAATCTCTAGAAAGGGGTAAGAAGGGGAGGAAGAAGAAAAGGGGGAGGAAGAGGGGCAGAAAGAGGAAAGCAGAGAAGGAAAGAAGTCGATCTCTGGGAGGCAGAGCAAATAAAGCAATCTGAGAAAGAACAGGAAAACAGGCATTCACATCAAGAAGAGTATTTCAACTTGTTTGATACTCATAAAAACTCCATGGAGAAGACATAGCCAACATCATCATCTTCACTTAGAAATAAGGAAACTGAAACCTAGAGGGGCTGGGTGCTAGTAGCAATTCCATACAGAGGCCGTCCCATCAGCTGCAGCAGAAAACACCCGGGTCTGGTCTGGACTCAAAGCCAGGTGCAGCACTCTGCCCCTGTGGCCTGGGGGAAAAGGGAAAGACAGTTCATAATCCTCCACGTTACATGGGCTGCTGCTCAGGACTATAGGCAATGTGAGGTGGGGTCATGAGTCCCATCCCAGGATAAAGGGCTTTCCCACACCCACCAGGTTCAGAGCTGCCACCAACTGAGCCATGCTGGGAGACAGCAGCCAGGGCTGACTGGGACAGTTTTCTCCCTCAGTGCTCTTGCCCCTGTATCAGTGTCCTGTGGCTGCCATAACAGATCACCACTCACTGGGTGGCTTAAAACAACAGAAATTGATTCTCACAGTTCTGGAGATGGGAAGTCTGAAATCATGGGGTCACAGGGGCGGTGCTCCCTAGGGATGCTCTCGAGGTGATTCTGGATACTTGTCATTGGATTTAGGGCCACCTGGATAATCCAGGATGATTTTATGTCAAGATCCTTAATGACATCTCCAAATGCAATATTTCTAAATAGGTCCCATTCTGAGGTTCCAGAGATTTAGCATGGATATCCTTTAGGAGACTATTTATCAGCCTACCACACCCTTCATGCCCTATACTGTTGTTAGTTCTGTCGTCTCTAATCCACCCATTCCTACGAATGCCAGTGCTATGCTCCTGCCACATACCCCAGGCCTCCCCAAGAAGTATCCCACTGGGCCCCAGCTTTCAATAAACTAATCAGATAAACTGAAGCAGCAAGTTTACATTTATAAAGACAATGCAGGCCCCTTTTATAGGTGAGGGAAAAGATTTGGGGATACCAAATGTGTTGCCAAAGGTCACACAGCTAATTAATGGCAGAGCCAGAACTAGGATCCAATTCAACGCTCTGACTATTCAGACCACACACCAAACCCTGACCAAAGAATGTCTTTTTTTATGGAAGACCACTGTCTATTATTTAAAAAATAATAAAACCATATAAATGAAAAGCAACTTGATTTAGTTGTTTTAAAAGGATAAATATAGGAGATGGACACAGTGGCACACGCCTGCAGTCCCAGCTACTCAGGAGGGTCACTTGAAGCAAGGTGTTTGAGGCTACAGTGCACTATGATCAAGCCTGTGAATAGCCACTGCACTCCAGCCTGGGCAACATAGCAAGATCCAGCCTCTTAAAAAGAAGAGGATAAATATATAATAAAACATTACTCTAATGCTTTTATTTATTTATTTATTTATTTTGAGACAGGGTCTCACTCTGTCACCCAGACTGGAGTGTAGTGGTGCAAACACAGTTCACTGCAGCCTCAACCTCCTGGACTCAAGTGATCCTCCCACCTCAGCCTCTCAAATAGCTGGGACTATAGGGAGTGTGCCACCACGTCCGGCTAATTTTTGTAATTTTTCTAGAAATGGAGTCTGTGTTGCCCAGGCTGCACTAATGCTTTTAAATTAATAAGAAAGAAAAGTCTATTCAATAAATATAATAGGTAATAAATATGTCTTCACTCTTCTGTGTTGTGATGAAGAAGAGAAAAAGGGAAAAGGAGTAACGGTGGGGGGAAATCCCAATCTTTTCCAAAGCATGCACTGAAAACTATCTTGACTTAAAAATTGGAAAGGTACTTCTAGAATTTGTCAGAAAAATGGCATTTGGATTGGATGCAAAGGCATTCTTGAAGTTTTTCTCGCATATCAGTGACAATCTTAATTTACCAGATAGTGGGAAATGTCTTCTTTATGTCAGACAAAGGTCCTTTTTAGGGTTTATTTTCCCAGGTTCTAAGAATACAGACACTGAAAGCATGAAAATGTTGTCTATTTCTGCAACTATAGTCATAAATGAGACCACATATTGACACACGGAATGGTGAAACCAAGCCAAAGGCCAGATCTCACCCTACAAGCTAAAGAGCTACCTACTCCGATTTTAAAGCTTAAAAATTACAACTCTTTAATAGGTGGGAATAATCATAAGTTACCTTTCTTCTGTGGTCAGGTGGATGAGGTCTCTTTAACTGAAATTTTCCCTCCCAAAAAAAGTCATGACTATGGTTAACAGGGTAAAACTTAGTAAAGGTGTGACCAGAATCTAGAATAGTTTTGTTCCAAACTTTGTGACCACAACCCACAGCCAAAACTACGTTTTATGTAGCAACCCCATATATAGACACATAAATGTACTACATAACCATAACAAAAGTTTCACAAAATACTACCTAATTTTCCATTTTCCCATCTATACTATTCTATTTCACTTTTTATTGCTGATCTTGACTCACTACATTCATAATCCAATGATCATAACCCCTAGTTTGAAGACACTGATCCAGATCCCAATCATCAGGTGTATGTCGAGGGCTCTGTTCTTGACCCACAATGGAAACACAGCCTCACAACAAAAGCCACAAAAATTAAATACCTAGGCAGTATCAGGGGACACAGCAGTGCTCCCTCAGTGTGTTCATGGAACAAGTACTTCAAGATGCCCCCCACTACAGATTTCCCAAGTGTGTTTGGGGAAACAACGAATGCTATCACCTTCTCTTGGTGATGCACAATACACATAATCTATCCAAGCCTTTGGAAGGTCCTTAAGAAAGAAAACACTGGCCAGGCACGGTGGCTCACATCTGTAATCCCAGCACTTTGAGAGGCCGACGTGGGTGGATCACCTAAGGTCAGGAGTTCGAGACCAGCCTGGCCAACATGGTGAAACCCCATCTCTACTAAAAATACACAGAAATAAGCCAGGAGTGGTAGTTGGCACCTGCAGTCCCAGCTACTAGGGAGGCTGAGGCAGAAGAATCACTTGAACTTGAGAGGTGGAGGTTGCAGTGAGCTGAGATGGTGCCACTGAACTTCAGCCGGGGCGACGGAGTGAAACTCTGCCTCAAAAAAAATTAAATAAAAAGAAAATAAAGAGAAAAAACTGTTCTAGCTTAACCCCAAATTTCCAAACTTACTGACCACATGGCATGTTTTTGTATTAACAACTTTGTATACATGTTTTGTATAACTGCTAAACACTTTTGAGAAATACTGTATGTAGAAGGAACTAATGGGTTAGAGATGAAAATGAGTGTCTAAGAGCTCAAAAGTAACCTCGTCTCCAACTATAAGCATTTTAAGAGAAAAGGTTAAAATGCACTCTTGGAAATTCTGTCTAATATTAGTGAAAAAATTCACAAGGAGTTAAAACTAAAGTACTTATCACTTGTAAGGGCCAGAGAAACAAGGAAATACACCTGATAAGTACATTCTTTATTCCAAGCATCAGAAAACTGATTTGAATATCCTATCACATGCCCCCACCTAGATGAAGGCCCTGCCTAGCTGCTGGAATTAGTTTTGTAAAGAACCAGGTTTTAAGGCTTGATTTACAATACTTCTCTAATCTGAAAAGGTCCAGGGAATTGCATGTCTTTTGATTTAAAATATGCAAAAAAATATGACTCATGCTCTTCCTACACTTGCACCTGATCACCAAAATGGCTCTGCTAAGAGTTGCCTGTATTCTGATACAGGCCACAGAGTGTGACAGCTGAAGAATACAAAGGTCATTCTGAGGCTGAGGTCCAGTCGGGCTCATCAACAGAGGCAGGAAGTCTACCTGATAAGGCTGTTTCGTTGTTGCCCGTTAACATTTTCAGAATCTCCAAAGAAAGTTATGGTATTATCACCACCTAACATTGTATATATTTGTTTTCTGCATGTCTCCTCTCACAAAAGTGTGGGCTCCCTGAGGGCAAGGACATTGTCTCTCTTGTTCACCTGTGTATCCCCAGCACCCTAGAAAGTACCTGCCACATAATAGATGCTTCATAAATAAATAATGAGTAAGTAAATCTCAGGGATTGGCCAGGAAGCCGGGTGAGTGGAGAGAGGAAAAAGACGGGATATATAATCAGAGTTCTGCAGGATGCCCCGTTCTTGTACCGACCACCAGTTTTGTCTTCATGTTTCCCTGGGCTGGGTAGAGGAGATATTCTACTCACCCTTGAGCCCCCTTTAACATTCTAGATTGCACAAAAGATTTAAGGCCCAGAGGACAGGGCCTGGGTCTTGCTCCCCATCATGGGGTCTTTCTCTCAAGAAGTACCCAGTAAAAGTTGGTAGAACTAAGCTGAGAAGAATAGTGGTCTACCTTGAAAGGGCAGATGTTCACAGAGGAAGCCTCATGGTCATCAGTGGCCTCCTGACACATAATAATGTCTTGCCCTTTCAGATTGCCTTATCTTCCACCCATTCTACACCATTAGTTTTTCTTCAAAATAAAATGATTTGTGATGCTAACTCAAGTTCAAAAACTGCCCAAGATCACCACTCCATCATTCATACACATATGCAAGGAGAAGATGACTTAATTTAAAGTGATGAACCATCTTAGTCAAATTCAGAAACATTCAACTATACACTCTCTGAGGTAGGGTGGATGTAGGACTTTTACCTCTGATGAAATATGTACTGAGAAAAACCGGAAGGAGAAAATCTTTCATTCCCCTCAACAACAGCTCACTTTGCTATAGATGCATGGCATTTTACTCACCCATTTGCTTACCAAAAAACCCACCAGACCTGGACACAGTGGGACAAGTCCACACAGTCACATCATTCTTGGGAGTACCGAGGCCAGTTGCAATCTCCTTTGTCTTAGGTAGCCAGATTAAGGAACAAATCTGAAATAATGATCAAAAATACAGAATTATTACAATTTCTGATTCCTTATGAATATACTTAAACTGGTTATAGACAGTATGCACTGTCCATGACCCAACCTCCAGTACAGCTGGAGTAGGATGTTAAAGAAATTACATCCATTCTAGGAAAGTTTATCCAAGGCAACAAAGGATCAAGTATACAAATAGGCTTAGGTGTAGTAAATGGAAGAATTTAAGTGAACTGTGACCATTGGCCAGGAAGAGCCAGACTACCCTCAAAGTTCATGGTCAAAGCAGTGATGGGAAAGAAAGGAAATATGAAAAATAGAAAATACAAATTATATTAACTTTGAACTCACAAATGAAGAGGTTTTTACAATAAAAAGAAACTCTTGAGAACTCAAATTCCTTATGGACTCAATAGAGAAAGAGAGCTTGTTGTGGGCATAGGCTCTGTCATAAACTATTTTCACAAGAATGCAGAAGATTGAAATGAAGATGAAGCCCAGAGGAGATATTAACCTGTGAGTTTGTGCTTGGGGTCTGTATGCTCTTCCCAGCATCTATATCCAAGATGTGTAAGCATCCATCCTTCATTCCTCCTCCAATGGCAAGGACCCCAGACTGCCAGGGACACCAATCCATAGCCTTTAAAGTTTCACATAATAGCACAGACAGGTCAGCTTCAAAGAAGGTGCACTCATGAATGTGATGCACTTAAGTAAGCAGCAAGTCCCCAGGTCTGCACCTGTCACAGCTCTCCTGGGCCTGCTATCCAAAGGCAGGAGCAACTGCACCCTCTAGAGATTACTCCTCAGGGACTAGCAGTCACTTCTGGAAGGGAAGATACCTAACATGACTCAAATTATGATAACAATTGTGGATTTTTTTAACATAGACTATGCAATAACAGTTGGAAAGCTACATGCAATACATACTATGGGGCAAAAATCTGCTGCTGGAGTAGTTCACACGTGCCCTTGCAAATTGGCTCTGAAAATGCAGGCTTTCTCTGATTTGTCTACCTGTGTCCTTATGTTCCAGGTAGTGGTCAGATAAAAGAGAACTATATGTGATTGCTCACAACTCAAAAGTCTCAAGCACTTCAAATCTTAAGGCAGTTCAGAAAATAAAATTGCCTTCTATTTATTTATAATTACAGTTAATTTAAAAAATAGGATTTAGTATCACACATTTACATTGGTAATTAAAATGACTAATAACAATCACTTTAAAGGACATTTTAATAAATACTACAATTGTATGTATCTATGTATCCTTATCAATCATCTTGGTAACCACCCTCATTTTTGCATCTTCTCTTCTACATGTAAAAATATTTTATAAAGTAGCAAACATAGTGTTTATACTATTTGATTATTTTCTGTTGTTTTCACCTATCATATAAACACTTTTCCACATTTTAATATACTTTTCACAATTATAATTTTTAACAATCCCATAATATTCCATCATGCTGTTGTATCCTGATTAATTTTTGTTCTGCTAATGCCGGACCTGTTTTGGTTTTTGTTGTATTGTGGTTTTATTTGTATTGGGTTGGGTTGCTTTTTTTTGGAAAGGAGTATTTTTTTTGTTTTTCTGCATGTGTTTTATTTGTTGTCTGTTCTCATAAAGTACACTGTAATGAATATATTCTACATGTCTTTTTTTTTCTGACAAATTTTTTAAGTAAATTCCAAGGTTCAAAAGAGTTGACATAAAATTTTCCAAACAGTTATAACTTTTTACAGCACCAGCATCCAATGGGTATACTAATTTCACCCTGGCTAAAAGTTACATGAAGTTAAAAATGTTATTTTACATCTAGTGAAATTATAATAATTATAAAACAGATTATAAGGGTAATTTATTTTCTTCTTAGCAGGAATGAACTTTTTTCTGTGTATTTATGTTCCTCCAGCATTTCCCACCATGTGAATTTTTTTACCATTTAAGCACCTACATCTTAATGCATTTCTTACAAGTTTGAGTCCATTTTTTAAAAACACACATCTGAATATACAATAGTTCCTCTCATTCTTCATTTAACCAACTTGCTAAATTTACCAAAGTTCTCCTCTCCTTCTGTAAAATATATTTATTTCTACCCATAGCATACTAATCTTCTGTTCTCTAGAATGCTCCACACTTCTGCTCCCACTAATTAAGCTGTAGGTTTATAGAACCCACTGTGTTTTGCCAAACCTGTTTATAACAGGTGAACTCGTTATTATAACTGTGATTTCATCAAATCACATGTAAATGTTTAATTAAATCACCTACTTTATTTGGACTAAAGATGATTGTTACTTCTATGAACTCAATTAAACAATTTGGAAGCTTTTTTTTTTTTTAAAGACACAGTCTCACTCTGTTGCCCAGGATGGAGTGCAGTGTTACCACAAGGGGTCACTGAAGCCTCGATCTCCCTGGGGCTCAAGCCATCCACCCTCCTTAGCCTCCCAAAGTGCTGGGATTACAGGCATGAGCCACTGCACCTGGCCTCACTCTAAAGATTCTGCAGCAGATTGTATTTTCCAAAGATAGCTACAACACTGTCTTTCATCCAACAAGACCTTCTAAGCCTTGCCCATTCCCTCCATCAATAGGTACAATCTAATTCCTCTACCTTTGCATCTGGGGGGACTTGTGACTAACCTGGAACCAATAAATGTGACAAGTGACACTGCATGACTTGCAAAATTGGTTATATTAATAAAAGGTATTACCACTTTCACCTTGCTCTCTGAAGCACTGGACCTATTTCCCTGAAGCACAAATTCCAACTGGCTTGAGGCAACCACGTTGTAAGGAAACCCAAATCAGCTCACACAACATGAAGATGCAAATTGCAAGAAGGAGCATGCCCAGCCAGCTGGCAAACAACTGGTGCAGCCCCCAGCACGTTTAGCTTCTGATGCTGTCTGACTGCAACCTCATGAGTGATCCTGAGCCAGAACTGCTCCGATGACATTTTCCCAGAATCCTTACCCAGGAAACCATAAAAGATAATGAAATTATTATTGTTTTAAGCCTCTAAGTTTTTGAGTAATTTGTTGCACAGCAATAGATAATCAGACAGATACTATAAATAGAAACCTTGAACAATGAAATATGGTTGTAGTTCATACAAGAAAGACAATGAGGAATTCTAATCAGCCTACCTACACTCAAAGTAAAGGCCTTCGTCTCATATGGTGAATGAATGTACAGTTTAATAAATCTGGTGAATGTAATGTTCTCAGTCAAAATAAAATATCTACAATATATATCATAAGTTAAAGTTCCCTGCTTTATCTTTTTCAAATAACAATTCTCCACCTCTGATTAGGCTGGAGAAGTGGGCTATTTCACAGAAAACACAATTTTGCAATTTCAAGAGGCTCAGAAATTCCCCTGAACCCACGGACCCCAGTTTTACCATATGATGGATAATATTTTTTATATTTATTAATAATCATTTTCTTAAATACCCTACTGTTCTAGATAGCTTTTATAATAAATATTTTGGCAAAATTAGAAGCTACACCATGAGAGGAATCACAAAGATGTCAACCTGCAAAGTCTACTCCTGCTTCACCAGTTGGTTAGCTGGTGACTGAAGAGACATGACTGGTGACTGTTCAGTGATTCCCCAGGTGCTGACTGCCAGGAGGCTTGGCTTGCTCTGGTTTCCAGAAACTCTTTCTTAGTGAAGAGGACTCCCATTTAGTAGTTCAATGCATTAGATTTTTGACAACAAGACATTTAAAAAGGTAACTTGTCTTGCTTGGCTTGGGTTTTCAACTATTTTTTTGTCTTGTTTTTGTATGTTGTTTTCAGACAGAATATTTTACATACATTTTGCCTACTTTTTTTCAAGTAATGAATAGTGGGAATTTGGACTGATCATCATTCTCAATATCCTGTAGACATGAAAAACCACAAGCCAGGAATTTCGGGGTAGCACAATGTAGTGGCAGTAGTCACTACATACATCATCCTATATTAGGAAGCCCTGTAATAACTTTTAAATCATCTTGTAATCAATTTGCTTATTGTTAATAAGGTAGAACCATTTCTTTGCTCTGCGAGTGACATATATTCTGGGACTATGTTGAGGTCAAGACATACATCTGTGTCACCAACTCCTCAAGAAGGAAAGTATGGATTTTTTTACTAGAAATAAGAATTTAACAGTCAGAGAAATAAATAATTATGCAGAACATGGTGGAGCATTGATCTAACTTCACAGCACCCTGCCATTTTCTGACAATGGGTCTCTTTCCTTACATGTGAGCTTGTGACCCAGGCCCGTCAGTGTGCCCATCTCTCTAGCCACAATTATTAACTGAGAGATGAGAATGTGACCAAAGGCAGACTAGGGTCCTCCCTGGCACATTTCCACCAGAGTTATAAGGAAAGATGGCTTCTTATCCAGCACCCATCTGGAAGAATCTGAAGCTGAAGCTGCCAAGAGCCATCTTGCCCAGAAAATGAAGTCTGAAGGAAGAATGAAACCAGAGATAAGCAGAGCCAAGAGCTAAAAAGATGGGCCCAAATGACACTACTCAAAGCCTTAGATCCAGCTGATATTTAAAACCAGCCGTATGTACCCAGGACTCCACAGTTACATGAAAAAATAGATTTACTTTTTTGCTTAAGCATAAGTTTGACTTTGGTTTCAGTCACCTACAACTAAAAAATCTGACCAGTGGGAAGCATAAATAGGGTTGTCTTTCAGGAGAGTGATGACAAACTCCAAAGCAAATTCTAGAGAAAGAAAAATCTCAAAATATTGGCTTAATGATTTTCTTTTTATATGTGAAGGATACCCAGTGGTCTCTGAGTAACAGGAAACCTAGAAAGCTACTGAGTTTCTTACCTTGACTGCTGTAGACCGGGGTATGACTTTCAGCGGTTGGCCCTGTGCACTGGCACCTGGGTCGTGGGGCCATATTGTCAGCAGTCCATCACTGCAGCCGCTGGAAAGCAGCCTGCCATCCGGTGACCACTTCAGAGCACACACAGCTTGCTTGTGGCGAAGTGTTCCAACATGATGCTGGGCTACCCGAACATCATGATGATAAACACGCCCCAATCTTGACCCACTGTGAGTTTATATAACAAAAAAATTAAGCCCTGTTGCTACATAAACATTTGAAAACATGGAGGAAAGCATAGTTCAAAGTAAAACTTCTGAAAGACCCCTAGGACAGATTGAAAACACAGGTGGAGATTCCTTGGGTTAATAAGGATGGAGTGTTCTGCCTGGAGGATTCTTTTCACAAGTGAAATTGATTTGTCTGGCAGAGTTTGAAGTCTGGATTTAAAAATATCCTTTAATAGATGTTTCTAATGACTTTAATCTGATGTAGGCAGCCATGGAAAATTAAGCTGAGATTACCAGATTTTCCCAAATGGTAGTTTATATACTGGACCTAGGAAATATTAATACTTTTCTGCAACTTTGAATATTTCAGCGTGTCTCAATGAAATGGTTTCAGTATATATTTATAGTAAAATGTTAAACATAGAAAAAGGAAATAATTTTCTAACAGGTAGATTCCTATTAACCTATAGATCCACTCTTAGTTTTGCTAAAGGCACTAATATGTAAAAGAAGTTTAAAACCAATTGAATGTCACAGCAAACTGCAATATGATTCCTAATCAGTGGATAATGTCTCTATTCATGCTCACTGATGTGAAACTAAACAACTAAAGATCACATCACTTTTTCAAAGATAATGAACTCTTTCTAGATTAATTTAATTTTCTCTAAGGAGTAAGTAAATGATGTTCCACAATTATTTCAGACATTTCTCAAAGTCCAGTGTCACATTGTTTAAAACTATGCAATGCTGAACAGCATTCTGATAAACAATATGGGCTCTGGAGCCAGACCAGCTGGGTTACCCCAACTCTGTCACTTACTAACCATGTGACTTCAGGCTAGTGTCTTAGTTTACTCATTTGAAAAAACAAAATTGAGGATAAGAGACCACCTTATCACGTTACTGCAGTGATTAAAATGAAATTACACACATTAAAAAGTACAGCACAGTGCCTGGCACAGAGTAGTCTGAAAATGTTAGCTGCTATTATTATAAGAAAAGATCTGTTCATTTTCCTCGTGGATAATGAAACTAAACTTTAACAATGCAGATTAGAAAAGGAGCTTGAGTACATAGGAAGGAGTTTGAGTACATACAAAGGAGACTGCAATAACTAAGTTGTTTTAAGTATGGCCAAAATCACAAGATATTCAAATCTCAAGTTTACATCAAATTATTTAAATACATTTTAAAAGTCTTTGGGATTTATCTAACTTAAGTCTACCTTAATCTTAAGAACTACAATATGAAAATGAATGGCTATGATTAAAAGCAGTATATATTTAGACCAGTTATGTAGGGTCACAGGAAGAAGTCACTTAATTTTTCTGGTTAAAAAAGAAGCAGTTAAACTAAATCATTAGTTCTCAAAGGGATACATCATCAGCGTCACTTGGGAAATGAGAAATGGCAATTACCAGCCCCTCAAGACCTAATGGATCTGAAGCCCCCCAAGTGAAGCCAGCAATCTGCGTTTTGAGGAGCCCTCCAGGTGATTGTGATGCATGCTTAAGTTTGAGAACTACTGAACAGGATAATCTACGAGGTTCCTTCCGCCATAATTTCTGTGGGTCTGTGAATTGGAAATGTGCCCCAAAGAGCTCAACATATTCCATAGTATAGATACTGATAGCAATAAATACTTGATTTCAGCACAATATCCCTTTAGTACCTATTACTTAGCACAGAGAAACCTTTTGCTTGAAGGGAGTTTCACATTTTATCTGAACAATTTAGTGAATCCCATGCAGAAGGCACACATGGTACATGTGGGCACCAAGACACTTATATCGCCAGCAGATCAGAATACCTGAGAGGGTGGGATCATACCTGATATTAAGTCCAATGGCCTATTTTGTTGTATTTTTTTGTCAGTTTAGGTTTTGAATATTATAATTGTTTACTCAGGCCCCATAATCAATTGTTAATACAAACACAACTGTCTCCAATAAGACACGTCTTACCTGCTGAGGATAAAGTGATTCCAGCTCAGAGCCCCAACTACTGACAAATGACCAAGCATATTTCTCAGCCGCTTTTTAGTTACCACATCCCATAACTGAAAAAATGAACAAGGAGAGTTATGTAGCATTGGAGTTTTCACAGCCCACTGTCTTCTCAAAGGCCTGAGAGCCAATTACTGTTGATATTGTTAGTTTTTGTACTAAGTGAAAACCCAGCACCTCTAGCCAGCAGTTCTCAATTCTGACTGTGTATTAGAATCAGCTGGGGAGTCTGTACCACTATGGATGCAGATTTAGTTGGCGGAGTAGAACCTGGGGATATGGCAATTGTTTTAAAGCTCCCCAGGTGAATTCAATGTGTAGCCAAGGGTTGAGAATCATTACCACATTTCTAGCTCCTTCTGAATTGTGAGAATTACAAATCTGGAAATCTACCTACAGTTACCAACAAATGTATTAATAAGATGTGGGTACCCGGACACTTCCTAGAATCAGAAATTCCACTTATTGCTAAGAGACTCCTTTCCTTCCAGCTACAGATAATATTCTGATCACCATGGGGAATGACAATTTTGGTGTAAGAAGAAATTATGACATAGACTTCACAGCATTCATTATCATTGCAGAGATGAGAAAGCAGTGAGAGAGCCATCTGTGGCCCTCCTGAATCATTTGCACATGAATGGTGTTGTTTATTCTGTTAGTAACAAAAAATAATAATAATGATACATGAGAAATTAGATAGACTGATGGAAGCTCAATAAATCCCCATTTCAAAGAGCCTGTCAGGAAAAAAAAAAAAAAAAAAATTAGTACAGACTCCTAATCATGGCTTCAGGTGAAAAGGAGAACTGAAAGTATCTTCCTCTCTCCAAAGCTCCAGAACTGGAGATTCTACAAGCCCAACTTTAGTTTCAGAGAAAATATATTTTTAAACATGACAGAAAGATTGTGGTGGAAACTAACCAGAGTACCCTTAAGTCTTCGTTAAAAACCATTCAGTAAAAAAAAAAAAAAAAAAAAAGTAGAATGTCATCTCCTTTTATTCCCCATACTTTAAGAGCCACACTAGTTTCTCTACTTTACATTAACTTATTATTAAAAGTCAATTATAGTGTAGTAATACACAGAGAACATAATGAGAAAAAAAACTGGCCAGTACTTGCACTTCTCCCTCGCTGGTGCCAACTGCCAGGCAAGTTCCCTCTTTTATCCAGGACACAGAAGAGATATAGTTACAAGTGAGACTTAAGTCTATGGTTTCAATCCCATTGCAGTTCTCCCCATTCCAGATGTATACAGCAGAGCCCAGGGCTATGGCAACAAGATTCTGAAAACTCCAGTCTAGGATATTCAGATCTATAAGAAAAGCACTTCAAATTAGGGTAATTACACAGCCAAATGAAAACATGTTCAAATAAACAACTTTATTTATAGGGAAAAGACTAATACCATCCCATGGTTAGTTGGAAAACAGAAACATGGAACCAAGAAAATCCTTAAAAGTTCAAAAATGAAAACTATAATAGAATCTGGTGTCAACACTCACAGTCTAATAAGCAATAATGCTTATTATTTACACGGATATATACTTATTTAGAGGCATTTAAAGAATTTGGCAGATTCATCTACCATTATTAGTATATGCAGACTTCATTTAACAGATCACTAAAAATTAAAAGCATATAATGCTTATGGAGACACCCTTGGACCTAGGATATCTATAAGGGAGATGCCACCATCATTTCTAACCAAAAATACCACCCAGCTAGAAGAGGCGATGGTTCATGTATGATACCTACATGTTCTCAACAGTATTCTATAGCTTACACTAATAAGAAACCTTTGACTGCTAAGAGAAAACATATTTGTATGACAATTTATTAAAATATACCCTATCTTATTTCTTGTCAGTCAGAAACTCCTGACTGACACGTATCAGTATAAAACTAAGTAGCACACCAGTTTCCCTACAGTAGTTTAAACCTCTACAATACATTCCCTCCCCGTGATAAATCTAAACTCTGAATGAAGTATAAAAAACAAATACCTGGAGACCCTGGAAAGTAAGAAAAAGCAGTAAACTAAGTAAGGGAGTCAAACTTTGGAGAAGCAACCTGGCCGGGGGTGAGTTTCCCACTTTTGTCTTTCACACATTTGCCCCGAGGACAGGCCCCAGTCATAGAGTGCCAGCGAAGACTCTGATAAAAAGGACACCATCTTTCTGGTCAGAGAAACCATGGAAATAGAGCCTGAGGCATAGAACTGATACCAGTTTGAGGGGAAAGTCCTAGACATGAGAAAGCCAAAAGAAAGAGATCCTCTGAGTGTGAGTATATTAATTCACACACATCTCAGCCTTACCCCTAAATCATTTACATGCAGAAGAGACTCAAATTAGCTTAGCAAAGGCTTTAAGAAACGAACTGAGATTTGAAACCTCCATACAAGTCTCAGTCTAGGCTCTGATCCACATGTATGAGATACAGACCCAAACCAGCATGGTCAAAGTTAAAGAAACTGATCTAAGATTTGAAACACCACCCACAAATGGCAAGACAAAACTTAAAATATGAACCTAACTAGAACAAAAACATCAACCAGAAGAAAACATCAACATTCTCCACAGGATCCAGTGACTATAACATAACATCTACAATATCCAGACAAAATTCAAAATTACTGGATAAATGTAAAGGCAAAACAACCAATAAATGAAAACTCCAAGGTGACCTAGGTATAGAAATTATGAAACAAAGACTTTAAAGCAGCCATTATATTCTCCATGAAGTGAAGAAAACCACACATGAAATGAATGAAAAGTCACATGAAGCTTTAGCAGATAAACAGAAAACCCAAAAGTATTTTCTAAGTAAAGAAAATAGAAATCATAAAACAAAGCTCTAAAATGGAAATCAAATATACAAAAACCATAAAATACAAACTTTAAAATGGAAAAATAAAATATCTGAAAAATTCCTTGGATATGCTGAATAGCAGGATAGAGGTGATAAAGAGTAAACTTGAATATAGATAACAGAAAGTATTCAACCTAAAGAATGGGGAGAAAAAAATTTGTTAAAGAATGAAGCCTCAGGGAATTGTAGAATAATATCCAAAAATCTAACATGTGTAAGTAGAGTCAGGTCTTAGAAGCAAGATAACAAGATTTCAGATGACCATGGGGTTCTCACCAGACACCATGGAGGCCACAGTCAATGGAACAACATCTTTTAAATGCTGGGGGTAGGGAGTGGTGATGAATCTTTCAACTCAGAATTCTATATCCAGCAAAAACCTCATAAACTGGAAGATGGAAAATCTAACAGAAGTCTGTGCCAACAGACCTAATCTGCAAGAACCGCTAAAGGAAGCTCTTCAGGCGAAAGGGGCATTATATGAAAGAGAAACTTGAATCTTCAGAAATGAAAGAGAACACTGAAATTGGTAAATATTTGGGTAAACATAGGAGCCATTTTTTCCTCTTAAGCTATTTAAATATTTTTTCAATTTTAAAATGCTTACAATTGGACGGTTTTCAGCGTATGTAAATACAAAATGCATGACAGGCCAGACACAGTGGCTCACACCTGTAATCCCAGCACTTCGAGAGGCCAAGGTGGAAGGATCACTTGAGCCCAAGGAGTTCAAGACCAGCCTGGGCAACAAAGTAAGACCCCATCTCTACAAAAAATCAAAAAATTACCTGGACAAGGTGGTATGTGCCAGTGGTCCCAGCTACTTGGGAGGCTAAGGCAGGAGGATCACTTGAGCCCAGGAGGTAGAGGCTACAGTAAGCCTCTACAGTCTCCAGCCTGAGCCACTGCACTCCAGCTTGGGTGACAGACTGAGATCCTCCCTCAAAAAACAATAACAAACAAACAAACACACATGACAACTACAGTAACCTAAAAAGCATTGGGGAGTTTGAGAGACCTACATGATTGCAAGATGTTTATATATTGTGTGAAGTGTACAATAGTAACTCTATGTAGACTAAGAAAGTTTAAATCACATTGTAATCCCTAGAACAATGACGACAAAATACAATACAAAGAGATAGAGCCAAAAAGCTAAGATCAATTAAATAGAACCGAAGTAAAAGAAGAAAAGATGTCCAAGGAATAGGCCTTGGGTACTCCAACATTTAGAGGCCAGGGAAGTGGAAGAGAAACACAAATCAGTAAAAAAGGATGAGAAAGAGTGAACAAAAAGACACTCTTGGACAAAACCCAAAAGAGTGGGATATCAAGAAGGAGGGATTGATCGCCTGTCTCAAATATAGTTGTTAGGGTTCAGTATGAAGTCTAAGAAGTAACTTTTGGATTTAACAACGAGGAGTTCTTTGGTAATGTTTGGAAGAGTAGTTTCGATTGAATGATGAGACTTAAAACTTGACTAGAGTGGATTTGAGACAATATGGGGAGAGAAATAGAAAATTGTAAGTATAAAGATGTTTTGAAAGTTTTACTGTCAAAGGGAGGAAAGAAAGAGGGCTGTGCAGCTGGGTATGGTGGCTCACGTCTGTAATCCCAGCACTTTGGGAGGCCAAGGCAGGCGGATCACTTGAGGTCAGGAGTTCGAGACCAGCCTGGCCAATATGGTGAAACCCCGTTTCTCCTAAAAATACAAAAATTAGCCGGGCATGGTGGCAAATGCCTGTAGCTACACGCCCAGCTACTCAAGAGGCTGAGGCATGAGAATCGCTTAAACCCAGGAGGCAGAGGCTGCAGTGAGCCACTGCACTCCAGCCTGTGTGACACAGCAAGACTCTGTTTCAAAAAAAAAGGAAAAGAAAGAAAGAAAAAGGGCTGTGGCTTAAAGGAAAAATGGGAACAAAAGTCATTTCTTTTTAATATGAGTGTAACAGTTTTTTAACATTTTTTGAAAAGGCATCCTTCTTAGTTGGTCATGACAATAAATTCTTTTGGAGAAGGAGCTGAAAGAATAGGAAGATACAAAACTGTTCCCTTTAGGGATTTTGCTTTTTCCAGCTCATGCCTCTTTGTAGATATTCCATGGAGCCCAGGCCCCTTCCCTCTGCTCCTCTCTCCCTCACCTAGGGAGCTTACACTGGCTCCTGGCTTCAATCATAATCATCTGACCTATAGACTAGTCCATCCTCTTTCAACTACCAGCATTCGTTTCAAATAATCTGCCAAGATTCTTCTATGTCTCATTGTCTCCTTTAATATAATATTCAAGCATAGTCTTTCCTCTCCAAATCACCTCCTCTGCCAATCTGTCTTCTCAGTGACACCACCCTTCTCCTGCTTCAAAAACTTGGAATAATCATGAATTCATTTCTCATCCCATTTCTTTTCTTCATGGAGGAAAAATAAGCCTTCACTCTTTGGCAGCTCTTTCCTACTAAGTGCATTCTGCATACTCTGCCATGAATTTTCCTTTGATGTTTCTCTTAGTCAACAACTCCCAAAACAAATCTAAATTTCTAAACTTTTCTCCATAATCTGTACCCACCTATTCACCAGTCCCCAATGTATCTTCTTCATTGTCATTAAATATCATTAATTACCAACATCCTGCCTTCTTCATGCTGTTAACAATACCAAAAATGGTCCTTCTCCTCTATACCTTTCCAAGTTCTAACAATCTTTCAAGATCCAACTTAAGTATAAATATCTCTACAACGTCTTTCTAGACAACACCGAAGCTCACTAAGCTCTTTCTAGTCTTTATAACTCCTCATATCCCATGATTTATTATTTATAATCTACCTTGGCATATGGTATCAGTTCCATGTCAGTTAGTCCTGTCCTCCAAACTAGATTACAAGCTGGGTATATAACAAGTAGACCCAATGCAGTTGTTTGACTGATTCAATTTACCCATATTTAAAATACATACATAAGAATAGACCATCATTAGTACAATTCTTTCTAATACAGTAACATAAAATGTATATTTCCCACACCATGCCAACATTAACAATACCCATCCCTGAATATGAAAGTTGCACCAGGAAAAGTCAAGTATATTAGCCATATTTGGATGTTACACTATTTGGATATGAGGCATAAAGGCCATCTGGTTTAATCAAATTTCATGTTTATACCAAGCACAGGATGCGTTTTGTCATTTCAAGTTTTCAATTCCCAATGTAAATGATAACTTACAGTAGTCATTTCGAAGACCAGTAAGATGAATCTTCACCTCTGGCTGGAGTATGGAATCGTTTATATCACTGGACCTTTTAAGATGGAAGGATTCATCTCTGACTCCATCTTTGCAGCCTACAAGAAACAAACACTTCTACACAGCTCTATGATCCTGAAAATATAATATTTGTTATTGTGGGTGTTAAGAAATAACATTAGGTGGAAAAGCTTAATTAAGTAGAAAATAAGTAGTCATCATGATAAAACTACAGTACAAAGAGCCAGGGAAGGAAGGAAATGAAGAGTACTTCAGTATTAATTTAAACAAGAATATTAAAAATTTTTTCAACAACACTTTCTAATAAAAAGCACATGCATACAGCACATTCTAATAAAAAGCCTCATATCCAAATAGTGTAACATCCAAATATGGCTAATATACTTGACTTTTCCTGGTGCAACTTTCATATTCAGGGATGAGTATTGTTGATGTTGGCATGGTGTGGGAAATATACATTTTATGTTACTGTATTAGAAAGAATTGCACTAATGATGGTCTATTCTTATGTATGTACACACTGAATGAAGAAGACAGATCTTGTGGGGAGTACACAGAGATACTACATCATGCTTTGAATATTTCTTCTGTTATTTGGGATTTTAAAACCAAAGTGAATTTTGCTTTTCCACATCAAGACTTACCTGGTACACCCATGCCCTACTCTGAGACTTCATCAATAAATATTTACTGATTCATTGATTTTAGCTCTTTCTCTCAATATTTCAGTATCAGAGCACACAGACTTACTGCTTTTGGTTAATTTTACCCATGACTATCTAAGGTCAGTATTCTATCTTTTGTTCAGTTCTCATCAAAAGACCATACTAAGTTCAAACCACAAGCCACTGTCTTCTCATCTCCAACCACTCAGCTTGTGATCAAACTGAGAATTATAAAATCAAAAGAAAACAAGACCACCTACCTAGGTGACTTGTGGTGTCTATGACCAGATGGCTTCTGATAAAAGCATGAGAGCTTCACAATGCTACACCAAGAAACCAAATTGTTACTCATAAATTCCTGCTTCCGTGTTAGCTATGAAAACCTGTAGTTGAGGGCAAAACTGCAAGATTACTAAAAATACTTAGGCTTGCTGATAAAGTATCACCAATGTTTTTAAAAAAAAAATCAATACCCAAAGAATGAACAAAAAAACTCCTGGGGCTGGGCACGGTGGCTCACGCCTGCAATCCCAGCACTTTAGGAGCTGAGGCAGGCAGATTGCCTGAGCCCAGGAGTTTGAGACCTACCTGGGCAACATGGCGAAACCCAGTCTCTACAAAAAATACAGAAATTAGCCGGGCTTGCTGGCCCATACCTGTAGTCCCAGCTACTTGGGAGGCTTAAGGGGGAGGATCGCTTGAGCCAGGAGGCCAGTGCTACCATGGCTGCACCACTGCACATCGGCCTGGGTGACAGAGTGAGGCTCTGTCTCTAAAAAAAATAAAAAATAAGACATGAAGAAACCTTAAATACACATTACTAAGTGAAAGAAGACAATCTGAAAAAAACTATATATTGTATGATTCCAACTATATGACATTCTGGAAAACGAAAAACTATAGATACAGCAAAAAGGTTTCTATGGGAAGGGGCGAGACGGATGAATAGACAAAGTAGTGAGCATTTTTAGGAAAATGAAACTATTCTGTATATTGTAACAGTGATACATGTCATTATACATCAGTCAAACCCATAGAATACATAACATCAAGAATTAACTCTAATGTAAACTATGGACTTTGGGTGACAATGATGTGTCAATGTAGGTTCATTGATTGTAACAAATGTACCACTCTGGTGGGAGATGTTGATGATGGGGGAGGCTGTGCATGTGTGCATGTGTGGTAACAAGAAGGGAACCTGCACCTTCTGCCTAATTTTGCTGTGAACCTAAAACAAATCTAAATAATACAGTTTGTGTGTGTGTGTGTGTGTGTGTGTGTGTGTGTGTGTGTGTATAGAGAGAGAGAGAGAGACTCCTAAAATATCAGAATAATATAGGTACATTATCTCTGGCTTCATAGAACATATATTTTTTATTCTAAGTCAAATATTCAGCACCTTACAAAAACAAAAACTTGTTGCTGTTTAGGACAAAAGAAGATGAGAGAGCTGAGGAACGACATGTCCCCATACATTTTATTTTGCTTTTAAGAAAATATCATTCTAAGGAAAAGACAAGGTTCACACTCCCATCCCAACCATACTTTCCCAAACCCCCAAAAGAACATTTAGAAGGCCTGAAATTTTGTCCCTGTTTTTATGCATCTAACTCAATTTTTTCCCCTTTTTACTGCTGGGAAACAGACACTTGAAGAATAAATATGCACAAAGTTCTAGATAGAAGCTTGTCCAATCTGCAGCCCGCAAGGCACATGCAGCCCAGGAGGGCTTTGAATGCAGCCCAACACAAATTTGTAAACTTTTTTAAAACATTACGAGATTTTTTGTGATTTTTTTTTTAGCTCACCAGCTCTCTTTACTGTTAGTGTATTTTATGTGTGGCCCAAGACAATCCTCCTTCTTCTAATGTGGCCAGGGAAGCCAAAAGACTGGACACCCCTGTATTTAGAAGTTGAAAGTGTCTATTTATGTGTTATCTACATAATTTTTAAAAGAAAATTTCCAAAAAAAAATTTTTTTTTTGAGAAGGAGTTTCACTTTATCACCCATGCTGGAGTACAGTGGCTCAATCTCGGCTCACTGCAACCTCCACCTCCTGGGTTCAAGCAATTCTCCTGCCTCAGCCTCCCGAGTAGCTGGGACTACAGGCGCCCGCCACCATGCCCGGCTAATTTTTGTGTGTATTTTCAGTAGAGACGGGGGTTTCACTATGTTGGCCAGGCTGGTCTCGAACTCCTGACCTTGTGATCCACCCACCTTGGCCTCCCAAAGTGCCGGGATTATAGGCGTGAGCCACCGCGCCCAGCCCCAAAACATATTTTTAATAAAAAATTGGGACACGCCAGGTGCTGTGGTTCACACCGGTAATCCCAGCACTTTGGGAGGCCAAGGGTGGACAGATCACTTGTGGCTGGAGTTCAAGACTAGCCTGGGCAACATGGTGAAACCCCATCTCTACTAAAAGTACAAAAATTAGCCAGGTGTGGTAGCACAGGCCTGTAATCCCCACTATTCGGGAGGCTGAGGCAGGAGAATTGCTCCAATCCAGGAGGTGGAGGTTGCCATGAGCCAAGATCACACTACTGCACTCTAGCCTGGGCGATACAGCAAGACTTCGTCTCAAAAAAAAAAAAAAAAAAAAATTAGGACAAGCCATAAAAACAGACATCTACTTTAGCATTGAGGATTTCTGTCTCCTTGTTCACATTTATATTTGAGACCTTGCCAAAGCACCCCATGGATATGCTTACCAGAACTTATTCCAGAGGGAAATGTAGCAGGCAAGTTTCCTCAGCATTTATGAAATGAACCACACTAGTTCTCTCAAGAGGGTTCTCACACAGAATTCTGGCTCCCAAACAATTATTTTCCAACCATGACAGTAATCTCATGAATAACACAAAAACTTTCATGATGGCAACAGAAAGTAGGAATGAAAACACATGGGGCTCAGGGTCAAAAGACTTTGGGAGGCCAAGCACAGTGGCTCATGCCTATAATCTCAGCACTTTGGAAAGCTGAGGCGGGTGGAGCATTTGAGGTCAGGAGTTGGAGACCAGTCTGGCCAATATGGTGAAACCCCTTCTCTACTAAAAATAAAAAATTAGCTGGGCATGGTGGTATGTGCCTGTAATCCCAAGCTAAGACAGGAGAATCGCTTGAACCCAGGAGACAGAGGGCTGCAGTGAACTGAGATCGCGCCACTGCACTCCAGCTTGGGCAATAGAGCAAGACTCTGTCTCAAAAAAAAAAAAAAAAAGAAAGAAAGAAAGAAATAACTGAGAGCTCCAAATGTAGCATGGAACAAGGACCTTCTAGAAATTGCCACAGGCAATCATCTCCCCACTGCATGGCTACAGAGCTTCCCTGTTACACTCACAACACCACCATCTGAAGTTTCCTACCAGCTTTGGGCAAAGAGGTACACCTGAAAGTTTACAGGGGCTGCCTGCTGTAAGGTTTCAGAGTCATCAGATATGGACAAGGCATAAAGAATTGCTTTATATACACAGCACCTGGATAACATTTGCCCCATGATCCACTGATGAGCAATTACTTGGCTTACGTGGAATCTATTTCATAGTTTAAATTTCCTTAAAAGAATCAATAACAGAGTCTTGCATAGAACATTCAGAGGGCTTCTCAGTTAGTCTTTGCCTCCAACATCCTCCTGTTCAAATAATTTCTTCATGCTGCCACTAAAGTGATCTATGGGAAGGGGAGAGACAGATGTAAGTCAAGTCAAGTCGGTGGAAGGGCCATATAAGCTTATTTCCTCCGCCTCCTATTTTCAGCGTAAGTACAGCAAATGACTTTTTAAAGGGGTGAAAACACAAGAACAAACAGTATGAGAGTGAATATAGCAGTGGGCAAGAGAGTGCAATAATTTTCTAGAAAGTGAATAAAGGATTAATAACTGACCAAGAAGAGCATAAGAAACTACCCCTCAAGTGCCTGCAAAGGGAGACAGTGAAGAGGGAGACAGTGAAGAGAAACAAGCTGATTTGCCTTGCAAAATCCCACAAGGGCTCAGAGGCACAGAGAAGACTGAGAGGTGGGTTAGTTGAAAGACTGTCAAGTTCCCACACATACACACACACCCTGCCCAACCAAGTAAATACATACACACATATATGCATATACCAGAAGAAACCAGATGTTTATTCTCTGGATAAATAAAAATGACAATTTTTTTAATTCAATAGCACCAGGCACCATGGAGATGTATGAAACAAAAAAAACAGATTTTGAGTTAAAAAAAAAAAAAAAAGACAGTCTCACTTTGTCGCCCAGGCTGGAGTGCAGTGGTGTGATTTCAGCTTACTACAACCTCCGCCTCCCAGGTTCAAGTGATTCTCCTGCCTCAACCTCCCAAGTAGCTAGGATTACAGGTGTGAGCCACTATGCTCAGCTAATTTTTGTGGTTTTAGTAGAGATGGGGTCTCACCATGTTGGCCAGGCTGGTCTCAAACTCCTGGCTTCAAGTGATCCACCGCCTCGGCCTCTGAAAGTGCTAGGATTGCAGGCTTGACCCACCGTGCCTGTACTAAAATCTTTATGCTGAATTTACCCTGGTGCTCTTTAACCTAGGATAGAAGAACTAAGCTCTTTACCCTAGTACTATTTTTTAAATGCACAGCTTTCGGGAAAGTTTTTACTCTGAAAGAGAGAAACCAAAGTAAATGAGGGGTTGGAGGGAGAGAAAACCAAAGCAAAGGAAAACAACGCAGAGAGCACAGAAGTATTTCCAAAACTCTACAAAATAATATTGTCAGAGATATAGGAGAAGGTGGTATATCCATGAAGCATCAAGAGGATGCTGTAAAGAAAAAAAAAAAAAAGGAACAGAGTACAGAAATTGCTTTTAAAAAATTAAAAGTAGGAGAGCCAAAATAAAAAGTTTCATAGGAAGGCTGGTGAATAGAGTTGAGGAAATCACCCAAAAGGTTAAAAAAAAAAAAAAAGTGAGATGAAAAGTAGAAGATAAAAGATAAGAGAATTGGAGAGTCAATCCAGAATATTTCATAAAGAAAGAAAAAATAAACGATAGTGAAAAAAAATTAAAAAATAATTGAAGCAACTTTCCAAGAACTATAGGATATGGATCTCCAAGAATGAAAATATCCACCAATGGGCTTTTGATTTACAATGAGTTGGGTTTTTTTTCAGTGCCAAGCTTTATCATCATGAAATCTTAGAACACTTGGTGATAAAAGGCTTTTCTAAGAGCATCAAAAGAGAAAAAGCAAAGTTGAAGTCAAATTAACACAGGACTTCTCAACAGCAACAGTGGATGCTAGAAAATAATAAAGCAATATTGTCAAAATTCTGAGTGAAACTAGAATTTATAGCCAGCCAAACTATGAATCAAGCATAAAAGAAGAATAAGGACATTTTCAGACCAGCAAACCCAGAAAGAGCATAACATAGCTGCCCAAAAATAGTGGATCTAATATTGATGAAAAGTCCTGGAAGACAACCGTGCAACTGGCCAAGAAAGCAGCCTGTTCAGCAGGCTCTCAGCGGGAGGTCATCAAGGAAAAGAAGAAACTGGAATGAGTGAGCACATGGAAATTGTTATTGACAGCTACGGAACAAAACATTGGAGCATTTAGAGGAAATATTAATAGTGTCATAGATATCTAGTAAATGAAAAATAAGGCAACTTTTAATACTCAGCAAAAGTTATACTAGAAAAGAAGCACAATTATACTATTTGACTTGATAGTGAATAATAGTTGTGTAGTAATATGTAAACATTAACTTCTAATTTTACTTTTTTAAAGTGTGATATAAGCATGTCAAGAAACTGATGAAACTGAATGAGGCAGAAAGATAACTAAATTCTTACCTACTATGCCTGTAATCCCAGCACTTTGGGAGGCTGAGGCAAGAGGATCACTTGTGGCCAGGAGTTCGAGACCAGCCATAGCCAACATGGTGAACCCCAACTCTACTAAAAATACAAAAAAAAATTAACCAGGCATGGTGGTGCATGCCTATAATCCCAGCTACTCAGGAAGCTGAGGCATGAGAATCCTCTGAACCTGGGAGGCAAAGGTTGCAGTGAGCCGAGATCGCACCACTGCACTCCAGCCTGAGCAACACCAAAAACAAAAAAGTCATGATCAAGTCTAAAATTGCAAGAAATAGCAGTTTACCCATATTATTTAGAAAGTAGATGTAAATACCAGGAGTACAGCTGAAGAGCTAAAGGTGGTCACCTATAGAGAATGGGACTTGGAGGTAGGGGTAGTTAGAACAGAGGTTTATGAGAATTATTCAAATGTTACAATTAGGTTGATTTAGTCTGTTATTATTTATTATTATATATTTATATCATATATCTTTAATATTATAAAATATATTTAAAATAATATATTTTAAGATTAGGAAGACATGAAGGAGGCAGAGAGAGGAGGGCAGGAAGGAAGGACAATGTCTTGACCCTGTACCTTTCCAAACACATTGGGATTGCTCACAGAGCTGCATTTTTCCATTAGCCTGCTGAACCACCTTCTGGGTTACAAAGAGTTGTTTTAGGCATTTCTGAAAATAAGCACACATAAGGAGAATACTTCTTTAGAAACATATATGTACAACTAAAATGTGATGTATAATATAGAATTACAACGGTAATTCACTAAGGAGTTCAAAGATTCCACATTGTAAAAGCCAACACCACAATAATCACTACTATTTATTAACTAAACACTATGTAACGAACAGTGCTGAGCATTTTACATATATTATTTCTCCTGCTCTATGGAGTTCAACAACTCCATAATTAAAAGTAGGAGAGCCAAAATAAAAAGTTTTATAGGAAGGTTGGTGAACAGAGTTGAGGAAATCACCCAAAAGGTTAAAAAAAAAAAAAAGTGAGATGAAAAATAGAAGATAAAAGATAAGAGAATTGGAAGGACAATCCAAATATTTCATAAAGAAAAAATAAATGATAGTCAAAAAAATTATTAAAAATAATTCAAGCAACTTTCCAAGAACTATAGGATATGGATCTCCAAGAATGAAAATATCCACCAATGGGCTTTTGATTTATAATGAGTCTTTTTTTTAATGCCAAGCTTTATCATCATGAAATCATAGAACACTGGTGATAAAAGACTATGGAGTTCAACAACTCCATAGAGCAGGTATTTTTTGGCTAGAATAAAATCTTTTTTTATTCTTCTAGCCTAAAAATCCGTTTAGCCTATACACCATAGGCTGGTGACATCTCCAAAGCCTGCCACAACTGAACTGCCATCTTAAGGTCCCTTTTTGTTAACACCTTCACAGAGTTCTTAAGTAAGTTTACTAAAATTTCATGTGCACAAAAATCTGGGTCCTATCCCTTTGGGCCAATATACAAAGAGCACTTCTGACATTCTTACATCCAACTTCAATCAAAAACCCCTGGGAAAATTAGTAATAAGTGGAAAGAAAAATAACTGATGAAATTTCCTAAAAACATACTGATAAATGGTTAAAACAGAGAAGATTCTGTTTTGCTTCTTCACAACAAGATATTTCCTCTCCCAAATATGACAAATACTGTGTCAGGTTCACAACTGCGCCAAAGGTCATGTTGAGGTCCTGAGTGAGAGGGTGGGTGAATGAGCAGAAAGAACACTCGGGGGGGTGGCCATAGGCAGGTGAATGATTTTATTCAGCAGCAGCTCTCATCAACAGCTTTCTTAACTAGCTCTCTACGCTGTTCACCTTTATCTCAGCTGCTTAATTCCGTGACCCCCACACACAGCTGCATGGCTGGCTCTCCCTTGCCTTCAGGGTCAGCAGCTTAACACTTTCTTTCTCTGGGCACGAGCAAGCCAAGCTGTGTTCTGGCTCCCCTCATCCATCTGCAAAGACGGACAGCTCTGGCTTTCTCTTTCTCCAGGTGCCAGCTCCTGCACAGTGTCAACAGGGCAATTATACCTTTTACAGACAACAGTCGCTTAGAGCCAAGTGATGGCTTTGCAGGTGTTACAGCTATAGTGGTGAGCTTCTCCATGTTGTGTCTACATGGCTGACAACAAGTGGAGTTATACACCTGTGCTCTAGACTCACTGAGTCATGAAGAATGTGAACATCCTACCTCAGCCTATCCTTGACCAAAGCACAGCCATGTTCCTCACACTCTGGGTCCCCAACGTTCAGAAAGAAGTCTCTCTGACAGGCAACGTTTTGGTATTTTGTTTTTCTTCCTTGATGTTATGTCACATAATTGGCATTGCTGTCAATGAATCATGGTTTTTAGTTACTCAAGGTAGAACAACTAACTGGAAAGCAGGGTTTCCCAATCTTGGCACTATGGGCATTTGGCAGCCAATAATTCATTGTTGTGGGAGCTGTTCTGTGCATTGTAGGATGTTTAGCAGTAACCCAGGCCTTCACCCACGAGATGCTCTCCCCCTGAGTTGTAACAATCAAATGTCTTTAGATATTGCCAAATGACCCTTGATGAGTAAAATCACCCCAAATTGAGAACCATTAGTATAAAATAATATTCCTAAAATGGCCTGCTCATCAGTAGTTCAATGACCTCTTCACAGACTCACTTCTTCAGAATCCCACAGTTACCACAAAGCTGATCACAGCAAGGTTTAGCAGGCACTTCTGTTCCGTGGGTGCAGGGGTGCTCTTTCCTAGATTAGATCTACTTACCACTTTAATCAGCAACTTAATATGGAGCTCCTGGAGGATGAATTCTGAAAGTCTCCACGGCTATGCAGGCCCTTGTTGTGGAACACCCTCCAGATGATCAGTGAGGACCACATGAAGACACACGTTTACTCTACAGGGGAAAGACCTCACTTCGTGTCTTCACCACTCTCTAAGCTATTTGACTTCTAACTAATCATGGCAAAAAATGCTCTCCTTAACATCGTAGATCAGCTTCCATTATCCCCTGTCCAGGTTCTTCAGTGATGCTGGGGTGACGTTCCAGCTGGTATAACAATTGCTAAGGAGTATCTTGCCAACACCATCATGAGCCCACAGATGGAGCCACGAACCTTGCTGCCACCAGTTACCAGAAAGGATAAGAGGAAGGAAAAGGGAAATCCTAAAGGGTGGGACAGCAAAAACTCCAATCAGCAGTAGGGGGTGAAAAAGAAAGGAGTGTTAATAACCTGGTCCAGGTTTGAGGCCACCAGTGCCCCCTAATTATCTCAGTGGGACTCCCCGGCCATTCCCTATCCTCCAAACCCATATCCAACAATAAAGCATGCATCAAAACACCTGCTCTAAAACATTGACTTCCAACTGCATATGAGTTCAGATAACTAAAATTTATATTTATAATATTTTATTATTCTTCTAGCAAAATAGCCAAGCACAGAAAAAAGGCATACACTGAATAAGTAATTTTGCCTACATTGAGAATTTATGACTTTTCTAGTTCAAAGTTTTTGAACTGAAACATTGATTCCTTCAAAGATTCTTCACTGGATTTGATAAATTCAAAAACATGTTATTGATATTTAATGTGCCCAAAAGATTTATGTCAGACTCCTAACATCTTAAAACTATGATAAATAAGAGATACCTAAATGTAATAAATGTACTTAACCAAGAAAAAAACAACAAGAAAGGCTTAAGGTAAATATTTAAAAGACCATCATATAGAGGTATAATTCAACTTTTCCTAAGAGACCCCAAAGGACAGATCACATCATCACACAGATGGAAATGATGACAGCAAGAGATCCTTAGGCTAAGAGGAAGCATACCATAATAAGTATAATTTCATTATATTTTTAACTTTTACCTGTTTGTAAAGATAAAATGGTTATTCTCATTTTCACTTTTTTAATTAATCCCAATTCAACAGTTTCTCATATATTTGGGGGGTATCTTCTTTCTTTTACAAAGTGGCTCTATTCATATCCTTTAATTATTCATTTTTTTTTTACCAGGAATGCATCATTTTCTCATTGATGGGTAAGAGCAGCTAAGCAACTTTTTCCTTACATTTGCGACTAAGTTGTCTCAGCTTCTCTAGACGAGGGATCTTCAGTTTTTTTCTCTTTACCTACCTGCCCTTTTGAGGCAACATTTTCTTTCCAGTCTCTATCCATTGTATGAGGTGCCTTGCAAAAATGGAGAGCAGAGTTACTTGTTTCAGAAATTCCTTTGCTGGGGGTTTTCGGTGGTTCTTTGCAGGATCCTACAAGAAAGACATTTATCTTTGAATTTGGTTTTTAAAACAAGATAATCAATTTGATTGTAGGACTGGCCATGGCATCTTTCACAGTAGGACAGAGTGAGAAAGTCCAAGCTCTCATCGCTCCAAAGTCCATTGCAGAGAGCAGAACGGAATTTTATCCAGACTGCTGACTTCATAAGGTTGTCACTCAATGAGAAAGCTGCCTCAGTGGTCTCTAGAGCAGGGAAGAGGTGCCAAGATTAAAGACCTGACTTCATCTGCAGCGGCAGCAGTGTAAATGCTTTATCTCTGTATGGAAAAAAAAAAACAGATTTGCACATTTGAAGAATGGATAGAAACAGTTCCACAGTTTTAAATGATAGTGGAAAGAGTATCCGGTTTGCCTGAGCTGTGGTCATCCTGCAAGGAAAGCATTATGGGATGCTTGCTTTGCCAGCATTGACATTCACTGCATAATCATGAGCAAATCACTCTGCCTCTCTCCCCCTTTCTATTGCAGAAAGATGTTTTAAAGATAGTTTAAGATGGCATCAGTGAAATACTTTCTAAGTTAAAGTAATAGAAGAGTTAGTGTTTCTTGCATCAATATTATTCCTACCTATTCTCTTCTCAAGATTGAGAAAGCCCTTTACCAGACTTTCAACTGCACTGGAAACCTGTCAAGTCATTCTCTAAAACTAAATATCTGCCATATCACTTGTTCATCACAGGAGCCAAGGGACCATTGGAAAATCTTGGCCTTTTGCTATGTGACAATCTCTTCTTCATTTGGACAACCATGGGCTTGATAAACTCTCACTAATGTTCCTAGAGCCTAGTACCTCAAGTACTGAGACATTCAAAATTTAAGCAATATAGATTACATTTAGGGAGAAGAAGGATAAAAATATGAAATGTTGGTCAAAGTTTTAGATCTTGCTCTTTGTCCTGAGAAATTATGCATGCTTGCTTTCTCGTGGTATTTGTAAAAGAGTACAGGGAAGAAAAAGCCAGCTCTGAGAACTTCAAATGAGAAAGAAAAAGTTGCAGTCAGAGGCTAGTACTGACAATCACCCCAGTTATAAACAAAGAAGTCAGGTCCACCAGCCTAAGAAAGAAGGGACCTCTCAGGTTCTGTCCACAGAGCATGACTGAAAACAAACCTCTCTGTAAATGTCCCTTTGGAATGGGAGGATCTTCAGTATCTGCTCTTCTAAAACAAAAAGAAAGAAACCCCACTAGCAAAGCACTGAGAAACCAATAGATCTGATTAATCCCTAGTATTAACTTAAGTAGAAAAATAAAATGGCCTTTCTTGTAAAATCCTTTTGGTTAATATCTGATTTCTGAATTTCTCACACAATGCCATACTTTTTTAAAAAATCAATAAATTAATTTAGAGCCTCGAAAGAAAAAGGGAGCCCCTAATTTTAGCCAGAAATTCTTCCAAAAACAATCAGCATCAAAACTGTCCCTCAATTGCACTGAGATACAAAAGATTTCTTTTAGAAGATAGTCATAACAATGACCTTTTTCACAACCCCTTATCTCCTACTGCTTCCCTCCTTGGTTATTAAATATTTTCAATTATTAAATACTTTCAGTATTAATGCCTGTCGTCACATGGGAACTTCATTGGTTTGAAAAAAATCTGGGCTCCCTTTCAATCGGCAGACTGCAATGCATCATCGTGTCTGATGTCATTGAAAAGAGCTGGCACTTCTATTAACATTTGTCTTAATAAATACGCTGATAGTCAAAAGAATTATGTTGCCTATGATTCTCAAAAGAGAGAATGGGCATTACATCAGCTAATGATAGGTGACAAATTTTGCTTCTGAAGGATGGGAATGAAAATGGCTGTGCCCAAATGAGAATTACATATTTCAGAGAGAGAGTTTGTGTTTCGGGGCTCTGGCAGGTTGATCATGGATCCTGCCCATCACACTGGTGGTTTGGAGCCCACTCCCCCATCTCTGCCGCATCATAGACTGTCTCTCACTCTCCTTTCCTTCCCTTTTCTTCACTTTCCCTACTACTTTTGGAGGCTCTTCTTTCTTCTTTCTTTCTCCTCTTCCTCCTCCTCCTCCTCTGTCTCCTTCTCCTCTCTTCTCTCTTTTTGTCTCTCTCCCCTCATCCATCCCCTCATCCCTCTCTCTTGCTTCCTTCCTCTTACTTTCTCTTCCTCTCATTCTCTCCTGCTTGTGTCTTTTCCTTCTATTTCACATCTGATTATTCCATTACTAACGCATAATTTTTTCTTAATCTGTATACCAGGAACCTTACCAGTCATTAAAATTCTATACTTTGCAAAACAAAAGCACATATATATGTGTGTGATACATATACATATATACATACACATTCATACATACAGTCTTTTCAAAAGTTATCAACTAACCAATGCAAGTCTCGAAAACATATTAAAATTAAGCTAAATTTGGCCTGAGGATGTAGGATGAGTCCCTACATCTTAAATTGCAACCTAACTTGGGATGTAAACTAACTGAAAGCTTAACTTAGCTGAGTCTCCGCCAATCACAGAAGCTGAGCTTCAGTCAATCACAGGTGGCCAACTAATCAGACCACGTGCAAATAAGGCAAACTGAGCTGTAGCCAATCAGGCCGGCTTCTACTCACTCCCAATTCCTGTCCATAAATGCTGCTCGCCCCCACATGGCGGAGTGGTTCTCTGGTTGCCCATTGGCCAATGGTTCTTTGCACAACTAACTTTGTTAAATTTAATTTGTCTAAAGTTTTGGGGGTTTTTTTTTAACACATACAGTACCTTTCCTTTGTTTTTGTGTCACTTCTCCCCACCTTGGAAATTTCTTATTCAAAGGGAGAAAAAGAGAAAAGAGTTGACTCAATGTGGCACTCCTTAGTTCTACAAGACAAAGAATCTCTCAGGAACGTATCTTTTATTCACGTTGTGTAACTGGGCTGTGGCATTTGGGGCTCCTCACCTGGAGTCCAGGTTTCTTTCTCAGGCGTTGTCTTCAGCACTGATCCGGAAGCTTCTGGGAGGTAGGTGGTTGACTGCTCTTCCCCAAAGGAATCAGAGGACAAAGCCCTAGTTTGACTTTGCCTCCACCTTGTGGTAATGGGGCTACTCGCAACAGGAACTTCCGCGGACAACCTCTTCGCAAAGTGACTCTTAAAGTCAGAATACGTAGCATTAACTGAATCAAATACCTGTTTAACAACAAAAACAGCTCTAACTCCACTGGCCTCAGTGATGCAAAAGTAAAAATTCCCTAGAAGAGACTTCAGATGACTCATCTAGTACAACACCAATAAAATATATATAATGAGATTTTTTAATTTTTGTAACCTGGATGTTATTTTATATATTTATATATATTTTTGTATATAGTTATACATTAAATGTTATATTTTACAGTTATATATTATATAAACATAAATCTGTTATCTTGTATATATTTATATTTATATATGAAATATGTTATATTTTATATATTTTTATATTGATATTTATATATAAAAGTTATATTTTATATTTATAAAACATGTTATTTTTACATGTATTTATATATAAACATGTTACATTTTTATATACTTATGTGTAAACTGTTACATTTTATATATATTTATGTGTAAAATACGTCATATTTTTATGTTTATATGTGAAATCTATTATTTTATATGTAAAATAGATATACATTTTTTCTATCTAAAAAACAACAAAATGCTACTACTTACTTAGAGCCTCTGCTGAAGGGTCTGTAGGTATACCAAAGTAGTTTAGGGAGTAATTACATTTATAAATATTACCATCACATATCAGTGTAAAATATGACATATGATACAACACTATGTACTGAACATGCAAGATGTTTGTATGAAATAATAAAATTTCAAATCTGGATATAAACAGCAATTTTCTAGTCCAAACCCTTCATTTCACAGATGGGGAAGCTGAGGCCTAGAGAAAGTAAGTGATTTGCTCGTCTGTCCATCCTCTCTAAGAAACACTAGGAGTTTGATATTTATAGAGCCTGTAGTAGTGAACCATCCCATGTAGCCATGTGAAATTAAAATGTAAGTGACAAACTAGAAATGAATTATCGTTTAACAAAATGACAGACAACTTATATTAAAATCCTAGTCATAAAGAGCTCTTATAGAAATTGACAAGTTTACCAACTCAATAGAAAAACTGGGGCATAGTACATTAAAAAGGCAATTCATAAAAGAGATATATAAATGCCCAAAAGATATTTAATCTCACTAGCAATCAAAGAAATGCAAATTTAAAACAGCAATGAGATGTTAGCAATAATTTTTTTGTGACAATCCCTGGTGTTGAAGGTGCCAAAAACAAACACTGGCATGCACTGCTGGTGGGGGTTAAATTAGTATCTGGAAAGGACTTTTGGACAATGTCCTTTCAAAAGCCCTCAAATATGTGCATAACTTCTACTGACCCAGCAATATCACCTCTAAGAATTTAAAAAAGAAATCAGCTGGCCATGGCGGCTCATGCCTGTAATCCTAGCTCTTTGTGAGGCTGAGGCAGGCAGATTGCTTGAGCCCAGGTGTTCGGGACCAGCCTGGGCAACAAGGCAAAACCCTGTCTCTACAAAAAGTACAAGAATGAGTCAAGCATGGTGGCATGCACTTGAATTGCCAGCTACTTGACGGGGCTGAGGTAGGAGGATTGCTCGCTGCAGTGAGCCACATTGGCGCCACTGCACTCCAGCCTGGGCAACAAAGTGAGACCCTCTCTCAAAGTAAAAAAAAAAGAAAAAGAAAAGAAAAAAAAAAATCTAAGATACGAACCAAGATGGAGAAAACATCCAGCATTTACTGACTGCTTACTATGTATGAACCCATATGTAAAGGGTTTTACACATGTTTGTATTTAATCCTAAGAAACATCTGTAAAGCAGATGTTATTTATGCCCATTATATCAGTGAAGAAACTGAGGCTTAGAGGTCAAGTGAATTGCCCAAGACTACACAGTAAGTGGAGATACCACACCCGAGGCTCACCTGTCTGACCCCAGAGTCCAGGCTCTCAACTGAGAACATGAGGGTGTGTACTGCATTTTACATGTTTGTAAGTACAAAAAGATGTGAGACAGACTAAATATTTACCAATGGAGAACTGACTAGGCAAACTAACAGGACATCTCTAAGAGGGACTGCTCTGCTGCCATCAGAAATGGCATACATTAGGAAAACGTAAACTAAACCACACCAAAGCACCACTTCACACCCAAGAGGATGGTTAGAATGTTTTTAATGGAAACTAATAAGCATTGGTAAGGATGCAAAGAAACTGGAAGGTTTTTACATTGCAAGTGTACAGAATGTGAAAGGATGCAGTCACTGTGGAAGATTAGTTTGGTGATCCCTCAAAAAGATAAACCTAGAATTACCACATGACCCAGCAAGTCCACTCGTAGGTATATGTACTCAAATTCATGTGCACATATGTTCATAGTAGCGCTAATCACACTAAGAAGGTGCAGACAGCCCAAATACTCATCAACAGATGAAGGTGTAGACAAATCATAGGACGTATCTACATATGCAAGTGATCTACATATCACTCCCAAGAGGAATGAGTTGCTGATACATGTCATAATGTGCATAAGCCTTGAAAGCATTATGCTAAGTGAAAGAAGCCAGACAGGAAAGGTCACATATCGTATGATTCCATCTATAGGAAACAGTCAGCATAAGAAAATCCACAGGGAGAGAACACAGATTGGTCATTGTCAGAGATTAGGGGAGGTGGAAATGGGGAGCAACTGCTTAATGGGTATGGAGTTTTCTTTTGAGGTGATGAAAACGTTTTGGAACAAGAGAGAAGTGGTGGTTCCAGAACATTGGGAATACACTAAAACCACTGAATTGGTGTCTTAAAAGGTTATTTTTGGCCGGATACAGTGGCTCACACCTGTAATCCCAACACTTTGGGAGACTGAGGCGGGTAAATCACCTGAGCTCAGGAGTTCGAGACCAGCCTAACCAATATGATGAAACCCAATCTCTGCTAAAAACACAAAAATTAGCCAGGCATGGTGGCATGCACCTGTAATCCCAGCTACTTGGGAGGCTGAGACAAGAGAATCACTTGAACCCAGGAGGCAGAGGTTGCAGTGAGCCGAGATGGCACCATTGCACTCCAGCCTGGGCAACAAGAGCAAAACTCCGTCTCAAAAAAAAAAAAAAAAAAAAAAAAAAAAAAAAGTTATTTTTAATATGAGAATTTCACTTCAATAAAAGAAATCTTTTTTTAAATGGTAACACAGGATAATAGTGAATGAAACATGCAGATGCTCACAATATATTGCTAGCTGTAAAACAGGGACTATAAAACAGAATTCCAATGCAGTCCCACTTCCTAGATCTAAATGAAAGATAGGAAAGGAATATGCTAGAATGTTGAAGCAGTAAGTTTTGATTCAGTTTGAGTTTTTTACTAAGCATATGTGAGGGCACTGGCCCATCCTGCCTGCAGCCCCCAGGGGGCAAGGCCGGCTCTCTCTCCACTGCTGCTCTGTGCTCTCCCCACCAACTGACCGAAGAGAATGTCTTTCGCAAGAGACAGGCCGTTGTAAAGAGTGTTGTTGGGGGTCAGTTTTTCTGTCTTACAGCTGTTTGTTTTTGAGTAGGAATGGGAAAGATGAAAAGAGGCTGCACGTGTCAATCAGGCATCTCAATCTCAGAAGCCCAGACTAGGGGGCAGCAGGTAAGGTGATGAGTAACGCCAGCTTGGATGAGAAGCGTGACCCACTCTGGCCTTCTTTTTTGTTTTGCTTTGTTATTTTGAGGCAGTCTCACTCTGTCACCCAGGCTGGAGTGTAGCAGCACGATCATGGCTCACCGCAGCCTCGATGTCCCAGAGCTCAAGTGATCCTCCTGCCTCAGGCTCACCAGTAGCTGGGACTACAGGTGTGCACCACCATGCCTGGCTAATTTTTGTATTTTTTGGAGAAACGGAGTTTCACCATGTTGCCCAGGCTGGTCTTTAACTCCTGGGCTCAAGCAATCCTCCTACCTAAGCCCCCCAAGGTGCTAGGATTACAAGCATGAGCCCTTTCACAGGGCCACTTGGACTTTCATTTCCCCACTGTTTTTATTTCTCTCCACTAAGAAAAAAACCACAGTACCAGCTCAGAGGCTATGGGGTCTTGGCCCCAGAAACTGAGGGAATTTCTCAAACTTTAATGTTCGTGTTTTAGCCGCAGCAAGAACACATTGAGACACATTGTCTCATTTCATAGAAGATGTTAGAAATTTAGACTTTTCATATGAATTTTCCCACTTTTTAAAGTGTTCAACTGATTCTAATTTTTAGAAAAGACTGGAGGACTGAACAGAGCATGTCTGTGGGCCACATTCAGTAGGCTATGTTTGCAATGGCTCCACTATGTCCAGGTAGCCCTTACCCTCACAGGTACCAAGAAAGGGAGGAGACACCATATTGGAAGATAGACTTAGTTTGCAGAAAACATGGCAGAGGACAGAGACACTTGCTCAAAGGTTTCCTTGGAGCAAAATTCCAAGGAAATTCCAAACTTTAAATGTACATTTAAAAAATTCTGGGTTTAAAAGAGGAAATTAAAGAATAAAAATTTGATGCTATGTCAGCTATGTCCGTGAAAACTATTGAGAAATTGCATATTGACAATATCCTACTGCCTTAGCAGGTCTGAGTTTCTGTGACTCATCTACCATCACTCTGTCCACGCTGAATGTTTCCCACGTGGGATGTTCATCCCCAGTTCTCTGCCAGGGAACTCCCAGCCACCTTCACACCTGGGTTCAGCCACCAACTCCTTCAGGAAGGTGTCTCTGACTTTCCCTTCCTCCCTATTCCAAACTAGGTTAGGCAGCCAATGGTAGCTAAATAATGGCCCCCAGAGATATCCAGATCCTAATCCCTGGAACTTGCAAATGTTACTTCATATGCCAAAGGGGCTATGCAGACTTAAGTTCAGGATGAAGTTAAGTTGAGGTAAGGAGACTGTCGTGAATTTTCAGGATGAGTCCTAAATGCAATCACATGTATCCTTGTAAGAGGAAGGCAGAGGGAGATGTGACTGCACACAGAAGAGGAGAAGCAATGTGACCACAAAGGCAGAGACCAGAGTGATAGGGCCACAGGCCAAGAAATGCTGGCAGGTTGGACCAGAAACTGGAAGAGGAAAGGAATGGAT